CAACTCCCTGCTTTATCTAACATTTTACTGGCGTGTCGTTTTATTTAATAGATAATCTCCATGGCAATGCTATTGGGACTGTATGAACGGTTCATTTACAGGGTGTGATTATTGCGTTATTTCGTCTGGAAATCGTTGCGTTGTTTATTCATTTTTTGTCCCACGTTGTATTGTGGGATGGATACATGACATGGATGTTTTAACTTCACGGTGTTCACAGAGACGGAAATCAACTTCTCCTTGTCGCTATAACATGCGGAGAAGGTGATTTCCCTCTGTACATCTAGCCATGTATTCCTCTATGGTCTAGGCTAGTGCGTGATGTTCATCGGTTCGCCTTGAATGACTGAGACCGAGGCTGTTCGTAGCGGATATTAACATGACAATAAACAGAAAATAGCGATCTTGTTGACATTATCTGTGTGAAATATTTTGTAAAGACATCGTTAAGAGGTGAATGATTAAAGCTTTAGGTATTTCGTCATTCTTTCATTGACATTTTAACTGGTCACGCAGACTTGTTATTGGGATAATTAACAGGTCCGCCATGCATTTTACTAGCCATTGGCCGGCGGACCAGCGTTATTTCGAACCTTGATTTAGGTAAAATCCTCTTTTCTCTTGCTTTGTCAGTTTCAAATAATTCATTAATATTCATAAGTTCAATCCTTACCTTGAGTGTAGATAAACATAATTCTTGAATTAACTACAGTACCATAGTGAAAATGTGAACATGAAAAGTAAACCCCCTACTCTCATTTTATTTTTGTTAAATGAGAAAATTTAGTGAAGTAGAAACACTACAGATAAAATATAGTTTGCTTTATACTACTACTACTTGTGGTTGTGGACCATTTTGAAATGCTCATTCTTTACTGCTGTGTTGTCAGTTTTGACAGTAAGGTCATAGTTTATGTATAACCTATGTTTTTTGTTTTTTTTTTATTTGGAACCTCTTCCCCACCCTTCAAACTAATATAAAAGAAAATAATAAACACGTCAGTTGCATGAATTAGGTTCCTTTAAGATAGGAGCTAGCTCAGTTGGTTTAACTGGTGGTGTTAGCACTGAAACACGGAGATCTCATATCCCCTCAGTGTGTGCACTGAAACGTGGAGATCTCATGGTCCCTGTGTGTGAACTGAAACATGGAGATCTCATGGTCCCTGTGTGGGCACTGAAACGTGGAGATCTCATGGTCTCTGTGTGTGCACTAAAACGTGGAGATCTCATGGTCCCTGGTTTATTTCCCACCGCTGTTCTTGTGTTTTAGCTGGGAAGCTAAACATGCAAGTTTCAATTTGCACCCCCTCTTTCGGATGAAACGTTTAAGCTGTTTGTCCCTTGTGCAATATGGCCCATGTGCACATTAAAGAACACAGTACACTTATTTATTTATTTTGTCTTTAACATGATAAAACTTCCAGTGACGCAGCACTGCTCTCACTTTTGGACCACAATGAAAAAAAGAAAAGAAATGAAAATCAGAAAATTAAAATTACTGTAGATAAACAAAACATACATCCATATGCAGAAACATAAACTTAATTATAAACAAAAGAGCATTCAGAAAGGTGTAGGGAATTGTCTCCTGGTTTACTGCCCAATCACCACCAGAAGGACCCCACTGGAAATAACTTTCTTTTAACCAATTTTCTTGGTTTATCCTTGGTAATTACACCAAATATATATCCAATCCAATCCTAAATCTACTGATCAGGTATATTTTTATATGAATTTTGTTGTTTATCCTTATAAAAACACTTAAAATTGCATTTAAAAATCTTCAAAAATAATATAAAATGTTATATCAGCTAAGAAGGAAAACATTTAAATTAATAAAGTGACATAAAACTAAGTTTAAAGCAAGAAATTCTGCCAAGATATATTACATTTGAGCTGTGCATGCTTGTTCAGGCATACTGTACAGTAGTAAATCTCACTTTTTGTTAATTAAGGGCGCATTCACATGGATATGCATTTTTTCTAAAGACCAAAATAACACTCGTTTTGGTCATTATTTGATCATGTTTTCATTCGGAAATCACTTCAAATAAATACTTCATAGTGAGTACGGGTAATTTTGGCTTCTGTAAAGTACTATTTTGTTGCAAGAAACATTAAAATCCAAGTCATTTTTCGTGACAAATTCGCTCTCTTGGCAAGGCTTAGGCCTACCGAGCCCTGTACTTTCTAGCATAGGCCTAGGCCTACCCTCACTACACTGAGATGCTATGAAACTTTCAACTCTCTCAATTACTAATTTTCTCAATTACAAACTCTGCTCGGACAGAGGGTTGCGTAATTGGGAGATGTTACTGTAATTAATTATTGTCTAATTTATTTTTTTTCAAGCCATGGTTTTTGTACATGATTATCATCCTGGAGCCATGACCTTAATGCAGAGGCATTTTCATCACAAAGGACGTAATTCATTCATGAAAAGTGAGTATAGTTCACAAATTGTAGTAAAATGCCCAGTCAATTTAAGTAAGGCCATGATTATTTTACTATTTCCGTTATAATATAGGACTTTGCCATGCCAAAGTCAGCATCAGTGAGGAAAGCATGAAAATTGACTTTGATATTAATATTTTACAGTATATTCATATTCACCATATTATAAACTTTAAAATGATAGGCCATTTACTGGAATGGACTTTACTACTATATTGCCGAAGTTATGAGTAAATTTTAAGTTTTCAGTTAAATCACCCCAGTCCCGTAGAAATTTTAATGACCTTATATTTCTTTTTAAATGTTTGACTTCTATCTTTGATTGTGAATTAGTTTCTAATTTTGCCCTTCGTGTTCCTGTCCGTGTTTTACGAAATAAAGATGTTCTTTACGTTCCTTTAAGTAGAGTCAATATTTTAAAAAACGGATTTATTAGTAGATTAAGTTCCTCGTATAACAAGTTAGTTCAGGACTATCCGTCTTTAGATTTATTTAACTCCAATCCTGTCTCTTATACACATCTTGTTAATTTCCTAATGTGTTGAATTGTAAACTCTATTGTTCAGGAGACCGT